ATGGCAAAAAACAAAATACATTAAGTATTTTTTACTATTTTATTTATTATTCATTTTCATCTACTGAAAAAACTCTCCCACATATAAGGTAATTGAAACTTTGACAGGGTTATCTAAAAAAATTAAAAAGAAAAAAAAACTGAAGGCTTATCTGAATTCTATATTATGGAAGATTGTGAAGTATAAAATGCCCCTTGATTACAAGGTTACACAGATTACAAGAGTAATTTTGTTCTAATAAAAGTTGATTTTTAATTTTTTTTTAACCCGCTTAACTAAAATTTAACCATCACTTTATTTCCACAAAATTTAGTCAGTAATGAAATTGTTACAATTGCTATAATTTTCTCTATAAAATGAAATCCATATAAAAACTGTCAGTTAACTCACAGACAATATAGCCTATTGCTCCAGACCGCGTGTTAAGTGCTGGAAATTGGTAACCCAAAAAGGAAAAAGGATGCAGGGTCTTCTACCCCGTAATAGGAGGCAATTCTAGCAGTGGCAACGTTGCCAAGTAATAACTGGGCATACAAATAAATTTAATGCATTTAACTATGTACATAATTAAAAAGTTATATGGAACTTATCTTTTGTTTGGAAATGACATGTATGTTAAATGCTATGAATTTATCTTATTAATTATTTATTTTATATGAGTTTACCTTGGAATGGGAGAATTCAAAAACTTAAAATTCGTTCGATACTTATGTTTAAAAAATGGCATTATACAGGTTGTGTAAAAATGTACCGAATCACATATTTGGTAGTGCTCATATTTGTGAGCCAGGATGTTAAGCCAAAAAACTTAAACAATGTAAAATTTCCTTAAAAATAGTATATAAGTTTTTTTTCTCATACGATGACGAATGCTAAAAAGACCTCGCGCTCTACACCACGCCCCCTCCCTGGAGAGGAGCCTTTAGTGTCTTGAAAACGATTGGGAAGCAAGCCCCACAGACTTCTGAAGGCAGGAGAGAGAGAAAGAGGGGGAGGGAGAGAGAGAAAGAGAAAGAGGGGGAGGGGGAGGGAGAGAGAGAGTAGCCCTCTATGACGACACAATTATTCTCTCTTTCACACACTATAGCTCTGTCTCTCTCGCATACCATCAGGCAAATATGACCGAAACGAACCTTGGGTTTTATCATTATCAGAATAACCCATTTTAATAAAAAAATTAAAATGAGTTATTCTTATAATAAAAAATAGAACATAATGAAACTGTACTTACCTATTCAAATAATAAAAATGCTGCAAGAGTTGGACAGGAATATCGGCAAATTTATTTTGGAACAAGAATCCCGTCAACAAATACTGAAAGTTATTATATAGGTTATAAAAAAAGTTATTTGTTATTTCTATAAGAGTGTTCTTTAATTTTTAACAATTTTTTGATAAAAGATAATAAAAAGAAAATTCTTTATCTATCTATAATGATTAAACCTATAAGTAGGTGTCAAAATACAAACAAAAACCCGGTACCTACATTCCGCGACATAACCCACCTTGCATATAAAATAAACTACTTATAAAAATTATGGCGTCAAATATTTATAAATTATATTACTAGCTGTTTAAAATATTATTATGAATTTTGTTTATTTGGAAATATATTTTCTGCAGTATTTCAATACCAAAAAATGAAAATAGTAGCTAATTAACGAAATTATGATTAAATAACCTAATTATGACACCGTTGCAGAATATTCTTGATTACATAGGTATTCGTTTATTGTTTAAAACATTTTCATCAATACCTACATCATATATTTAAGTAAATACAGTAATGCAAAAATTATGCATTGATAAAATAGTGTACAAAATAAATCCGTGCGTACGCGTGACAACATTGTCAAACTGTTGTTATGCGTTGCTAAGATACGCGTAGGAATGCCGACCGCTGCATTTGATTCTTCCTAAAATTCTACTGGTGGCGTACTCTATCGGCAATTCGGAAATTTAATTGCTGTCCTATTCCAGCAGCTGTCTGGAGCAAAGCTATATTGTTTGTGGTTAAATTAAACTGCTATTAAAAAACATGGTCCAAAACCTTCTTTTTCTGATTTCAAAAATGTATAGGTATTTGCTCTTCGTGAATTAAAAGTAAAGTTTTATTCTCTAGTTTCAGATAGTAAAGTGTAACTTTTAGTCCCCGATAAGTTAAATCTACTTACATGCTCTTCAAAAAACCAACGAAGATTTACTAATAGAACTGAAATGGTTGCCAAGAAAATTTTACTACTCTTACCATATTATGACTATCATGTAGTACCTACGTTTAATATGTGGTTAAATGTATAGATTTAGTGTTAACTAAATTTAAATTTCAAACTACAGTGTAAAAAATAAATTGGTCATCTCTCGTTCACATGTTCAACAAACTTTGCTCCTGAAGTTACTATTATCACAGAGAAAATAAGTAAACTATTTTGTCATAGACAATATTGTAATAAATCAAAGTGTATTTGTAAATATTGGGCTAAAACTATATACTCGTAGGTTATTCATTTATCAAAGTTTTATGAAATTATCACAAAAATACAGTGTTTAATTAAATTAAATAATGTGAGAGATAATATTACTTATTAATGGAAATATTTTGATTTAGTTTTTGAAGTTAAGAATTTATTAATTTGAAAATTCTGCATTTGAATGTATGTGACCCGCAATTGTTTATTTTAATAAAATTTGCATATTTTACTTTTTCGATGTTACAGTTAGATCTAAGTTGCCGTGACGACCCTTTACATGTTTACATGCTTCGTAACATGTCGATTACAAATTTATCGACAACTGATACTATGCCTACTATATCAGGAAATAACTTTAACATTAATTCTGTAGACTGAATATATGAATGGAATTTGTATGCGTATTTTCAAGGAAATAATAAGCTGTCAATATTTTCACACATCTAAAGATAAATGGTTTTTGTAATTCAATGAAAGGCTATTTACGAATAACTTCACATAAATAGATACTAAATAGATAAATTTATAGTAAAATATTTTCACTGCAGAGGATATGTTATTGATATATACAGGGTGTCCCACGGTGACGAGACATTAGACATATTTCAGAGACTACTCCGATTTTAATTTTGAAAATTTGGGCAATAGTGTTTTCAGGCATGCCCTTCTCAACTAGAATGGCGTCTACATAACGTTTCCGGTTATACCGGAAGTTGACGTCATCTTCGTTATTTTAAATGGAACACCCTGTATATTTCTGCAATTTTGGATTCTACATCAATTTTTAGGTTTCCTATTCTTAAAGTTAACCGTTTTTAATATATTTAATTTTTTCAAAAAAAAATTGAAAAACACTGCCTAATTTTAAAAGATGTGTATTTTACAATAATAAAGTTAGAGCGATAAAAATAGGGGACATAATTAAAACTCTAAGCTCCCCTGCCATAACTTCAAAATGACTTGATTTCATACAGGGTGGTAGAAATTTAAAGCCGAATTTAGTCAACTTTGTCAATTTAGTCAATCTTAACTAATTTTGTTCTCTTTCGAATGTTATAATGGTTCCCTATACCTATATATTCTGGTTTTTAAGGTAATTTACTGTTTTTCGTGCAATCAACGGATATCGCATAATTTTTTGCGAGGATGGCTCTGAAATTTTTAGTGGAACTTCAAAACAGCACCTAATCTTTCACTATTTTATTGTTGTCAATTTAACACGTACAGTGAATGTTTATTTGATTATTATTTTTTGTTAAAGAATGAAAACGTTAACATTTATTCAAATGCTGACATTCTACATTTATTATTTATTCATGGAGAGTATCACAAGATAATAAATACAACTTGTAAAGTATCTAATGAGAGATGCACTCATTGACCACCAATCATAAATTAAGAATAATTGTAATAATATAACAGAATTAAACTACATAATACGAATACACAGCCACACAAAAAAAGAAAAGTTGTCTGTACTCTTCATGCGACATATGTTATCTGGATAATTTTTGCCTCCTGATCACGAATCCGGTGTCAGAATTGAGTAAAAATAGCAAAAATTCATGAAAATTCTTTGTATATTCTAATGTTAATTTATATAGTTAAGATCCCGCCCAACGTAAATCCGCAGTCAGAATTAATTATTCTTTTTCTAACCTCAAAGAAACGGGTCAATTAAGGTCAGATATCACGAATTTTCAAACAATAACAGATTCGCGTCAAATTTGGTATACGGGGGTTTTCTGGGTCACTGATCACGGATTCGAGGTCAGAACTGCGAAATTCATTTTGTAATATTTTACTTTATGACCTGCGAGTACCCAATCATGTGTTAACCTACTTTTTTTCGGCTATATCTTGTTCTTTTTTCTGTAAAAGATCTATTCGGGGGTTGAATTTTGCAAATCTGATCTCGGATTCATGATCAGTGACTTCGAAAACACCCGTATACCCAATTTGGCACGAATGTGTTATTTTTTGAAAATTTAGTCGGCCGTCATCTTGAATTTTTCAGCGACCCCGAACACCCCCTTATACCAAATTTGATGCGAATCTGTTATTTTTTTAAAATTTGGTCGTCCATCTTGGATCCGCCATCTTGAATTTTGCAAAATTGCCCTCGGATCCGTGATCAGCGACCCCGAATACCGCCGTATACCAAATTTGGCGCTAATTTGTTATTTTTTGAAAATTCGTGATATCTAACATTAATTGACCCGTTTTTTTTTAGGTTACAAAAAGAACCATCAATTCTGAACGCTAATTTCGTTACACACGTTCGGCGGGGTCTTAACTAATGAACATTAAATTAATTAATTAAATTATTAATTTAGAAATGTAAATATAGTATAAATTACTTTTTAATAAAGTTGGCATTTTCTCAGAATCAACTCACAAATGTTTTGTCATGATGAGAATATTTAAAGACTCCTTTCTCAAATAAAATGAAATAATTGAAATACATCACCGAATCACAAAAATATTGCACTACCTGTTGGGTTTCTAATAATTTCTTTATATTTTCAGATTTCTGGAATAGCAATAATAGCTGCTGGTGCTATAGTTCTGGCAAATGCTTCGGAATTCAATCACTTTGCTGATAATGGTTTGATAGGACCACCAATAGTCTTTATTGTGGCCGGTGCTATTGTTTTCATAATTGCGTTTCTGGGATGTTTCGGTGCTATTAAGGAATCGTATAATATGTTAATGGCTGTAAGTACAGTTTAAATGTCCAAAAAGGATACATAATGTATAATTATATAATTATTGCGACAAAATATATACAGGGTGTTAAAAAAGAGTGTAAAATATTTCAGGAGGTAATAGTATGAACCAAAATAAGCAGAAAAGTCTTAATAAACATGGGTCCGCAAAGTAACGGTTGCGGAGATATGGACCACTATTCGTTTTTCAAACATTTTATTTTATTAGGAATAAACCGACAAAGGAAGCTTTTAACAAACAAAAAACAAAGTTACAGAAGATGTTCAAAGTGCCCTCCGTCCATTTCCAAGCAGGCACGACATCTTCGTCTCAACGATATTCGAACTCTTTCGAAAACACCCTCCTTGGTTTGGATTTCTTGACACTTTTGATTAATCCGTAGCTGCAGCTCTTCCAGGCTATTTACAGGAGTACCATACACTAATGTCTTCAAATATCCCCAAACAAAGAAATCTAGAGGGTTCAGATCAGGCGATCTTGGAGGCCATAAAACAGGTCCGGCCCTTCCTACCCATCTATGTGGAAAAGTTTGGTGTAAATGCTCTCTAACGGCCATGGAAAAATGAGCTGGAGCACCATCATGCTGGAACCACATTTGTTGCCTCTGATTCAAAGGAATGTCTTCCAAAAACTCATACAGTGTGTTCTGCAGAAAGTTGAGGTAAGCAGCGCCTGTTAATCGGTTTGGTAAAACAACAGGACCTAGAAACCTGTCACCTACAATACCCATCCAAATGTTTAATGAAAAACGTGCCTGATGTCCAGATTCTATTAGAGCATGAGGATTTTCGTCGGCCCAAATATGCGTATTGTGAAAATTAAACACTCCATTTCTTGTGAACCCGGCCTCATCAGTAAAAAGAATGTTTGCAAGAAAACGAGGGTCTTCAGCATCATGACGTAGAAACCAGCGGCAAAAAACCAAACGTGCTTGATGATCATTTATTGGATTTAAGGCCTGTACTCGTTGCACATGGTATGGATAAAGCAGTTGCTCGTGAAGGATTCTCCAAACAAGAGGACCACTAATTCCTACCTCGGCTGATATTCTCCGCACACTCGTACCTGGATTCTGCTCTACCAGTGCTAGAATTTCTTCTTCTGCTCTAGGAGTGGATACCGACCTTGGTCTTCCGGATAAATGGCACTGTTTGCTCAAGGAACCGGTATCACGCAATCTTTGGTGAATTCTTCCAAACATGCGTTGTGAAGGAATCTGGCGATTTGGATAAGCGTCAACATAAAGACGTCGCGCTTCGGTGGCGTTCCCATTAGCACGACCATACATGAAATGCATGTCTGTTAATTCTGCGTTAGAGTAACCAGCCATAGCGAAAGAAAACTTGTGCACTGAGAACAACTGTCAAATACGTACTGTTTATTTCACTAAACATCAACCAACTATTATAAGAAAATACACAACGTTTTTGCAAAATAAAAAAAGAGGCTAAAAAACATTCCATATCTCTGCAACCGTTACTTTGCGGACCCATGTTTATTGAGACTTTTCTGCTTATTTTGGTTCATACTATTACCTCCTTAAATATTTTACACTCTTTTTTTAACACCCTGTATATATAGGGGTTTCTTACACTCAAGCTTTTAGATGGCCCCAGAGAAAATAATCCAACGGGGTCAAGTCGGGCGACCGCGCAGGCCAATGCACAGGGCCACCTCGGCCTATCCACCTGTTGGGAAAGATTTCGTGCAAATACTGCCGCACTGGCAAAGCAAAGTGGCTCGGAACGCTATCATGTTGAAATTACATGTCAGCTCTTATGTCAAGTGGCACATCCTCCAATAGTTCCGGAAGCATATGTTGTAGGAATTGAGCATAAACGCATCCATTCAAACGTGGTGGGAGCAAATATGGCCCAATGATCTGCTCGCCCACAATGCCGGCCCAGATGTTAATTTAACTGAATGGGTGTGTCGACTTTAGGACGACAAAAATGTGAACACAGTAAGCTAGTGAGCCAGGGGGCACCTGCGCTGTAGAGGCCAAATGGCATATTTTCGTACAGGGGTTTATAAGGCAACATTGCTTATTTTCATGCCCTCTACAACCCCTATCATTTTGTCACAATAATTATGGGACACCCTGTATATAATAATTTCTTTTGATCTAAAATATGATGTATATGTTGCTTGAATTTGTATAGGGCGATATGAACCTATGTTCTAAAAGGTTTAGTTTCTTTAATGTTTTTGAAAGATATAACAAACTAATGAAACTTAGGCTAGTGGTTTAACTAATTTCAAGTAAAGAAAAAAAATCACTGAATTTGTACAAACTTATGTCAACCTGTGGAGTATGTACTGAGATAGACTGCAGCCATTTTCAAGTTATTATTTCTCTATATTTAAAATACGCTTGCCACAGTTGAATAATATAAATCGATAATAACAATAACGGCAATGTATTCATTTCCTAGAAAACGATATATAAAAACTTTTTGTTATAAATACGATTTTAAATACTATTTTGTCATTAAAAATTAAAAACATCATTAGTATAATAACTTTAATATTTCTAAGGGCCTCTCAAATAGAAATTTCGACGTTAATTATTTTGATGGTGGCATTATAATGGTAGTTATAACAATTTTTTATGTAAAACCAGTAGTTTTATAATTATTTACTGTTGAGTTATTCACTCCGTGCTTTAAAATTTAAAAAATAATAACTAAAAAATTTATTATTTTTTTTGTTAATGTTTGGTCAAACTTAATGGCAAATTATACTTTACAAATTAATGAAAAAAGTTCGTTTATCTTATTTCCTTTTAAAAGTATAGGTTGTTAACATTTAAAAGATCGTGTTTTTTTAACTATAAAAAAATGGCTGAATACGAAACCAACACATGTATATTACAAGGTGAAATTTTTTTCATACAGAAGTATGGTTTTGAGTAAAGTCCCGGTATTGAGAGAACTGAGAGAGTACCGTAATTCATTGTTCTACTTTGGAGCCAAATTGGCGACCGGCGGATGACATATGAGGTTTGTTAAAAAGATAACCGAACTTTTTGAATTATGCTCTAATGGAGATATTTGGTAATATCTGTAACAACATGGATTGTTGATATCTCACTTAGTTTTCGTGATATTGTTATTTGAGTGCAACGTGTTTAAGTGTTACGATTTCTGAAATGTGCGATTTTCTGGAATAACGATGCAACTTAAAATTTTGCGTGAAACTGGGGAAACCTCACGGATACATCTCAACTTTTGAAACAAGCTTTCGGAGATGATGTTCTAGATTGTACGCTATTTTACGAATGGTCTTCACGATTTAAAAGTGGTCGTTCGTCAATTGAATATGATTATAGATCAGGAAGGCTTTGGACTTCAAATAATGACTTCCCCGTTCAAAAAGTCAAAAAAATCTGGTGCCTGCAAATCCTCGGTTGACTGTCAGAGAAATTGCAAATGAGGTTAGCATCTCAATTGGGTCGTGCCATGAAATTTTGACTGAAAAATTGAACATGCGTCAAACAACAGAAAGAAAATCGTGTGGACGTTTCTCGGAAACTCTTTGAACAGTCCAATGACGATGAAACATTCATTCAAAGGATCATAACAGGAGAAGAAAACTAGGTATATTGCTCCGACATTGAGACAAAAGGTCAATCGTGATAATGGATTGGCAAAGGATCTCCACGTCCCAAGAAAGCACATCAGTTTCCATCCAATGTCAAAGTGATCCTCACGGTTTTTTCGGCTTTATTGAAATTGTGCTTTTTAAATTATTGCCTCAGCGTGAAACAGCGAACCACGTGTACTATCAATGGCGTTTTACAATGGTTACGTGAAAATATCCGCAAAAAAGAGTACCAGAGTAGTAGCGAGACAATTCATGGTTCTTGCACCATGACAATGCGCCCGCACACTCAGCCTTGTCAATTCGTCAGTTTTTGTGCCAAAATCATCCTCCTTACTGGTCAGACTTGACCCATTGCGATTTGTTCTTATTTCCGAAATTAAAATCAGTGCTGAAAGGACGCCGTTTTCAGACTATTGATGACATCATAGCAAATTCGTCAGACTTTAAAGACTATTTCAGAACTAATTCACGAAATGGAATCACCTCTGGGAAAATTGAGTGTACTTTGAAGGAGACAAGGACCAATAATGTTAATAATATATTTTTAAAAAAATAAATAAGGTTATTTTCTGAACATACCTCGTATGTATAGTGTGAAAAAAAAGGCATTTCCTCAGATACGTCGATATTGCATTTCAAAAAGATACACTTTTCCAAATGCCCCCACCTCTCTCGCTTCAATTGTGTATGCATGATGGTACTATCGTTATTTTTTTCAAATATAACCCTTGTAATTTCTGGAGGTAATTAAAAATTGATAATTTGTACAAATATGTGAATAGCTCCATTTATCTCGTAAATTGCTTGTTTTAGGTTAGGTTAATATCGATACAATGATTATCCGTACTAAAATAAAGTTAATAATTCCAAAATATTAGACAAAAAGCTAGACACGTTTATTTACTGCATAAGAAAATTGTTATAATTTATAATATTTAATTAATTTGCTTTGTTAAATTGTTTTAAAATATATACCTAATTATTTAACAATCAACTCATTTAAGAGACAAATAGAGCTATCCAATATTTCTGAAATACATCAACTTTCTGGATATAAAAAATAAAATTTGATAATGACTTTAAATTTGACGCTTTTTAAATACGTTTGCGGTTCCTTCTCAATACAGAAACGGAGTTTAAAGTGCTTCCAAAATACGACAAACTATATACTTGGTTACTTTTATAAAGCAGCTCTAAAGGCTTTATAAAAATAGTTTTTGCTGCAATGCTGCTAGAATAAATCGTTTTTGAGATAAATGATAAAATTGCATAATAGAACAGGGCAGCATTGCATTGGTAATTAATGCTAGAACATTAGATATAGAAGGGAAAATGTCAATAATTCATAATTTCAGATAATTATATACTTAGACTTAGATGGTACTCTAACAAGACATTATAGTCGCAAATGATGTACATATGCAGGAAACTTGGTTTATTTTAACCAGTGTATATTAATATTAAATGATCAGGTGAAAAACAAATGAAGATATGAATAGAAGTACAACAATCTGTGTTCGATTACATAAGAAGGAAGAAAAAACTAATGATAGAATACAGTTTAATAGGTCCCTTCGTTGGCATTACTCCAATATTCTATATTTTTTAATAGACTCTTTAGTGTACGATTTTTCAGAAATGGAGATTCATTAAAAATGTCATGAAATGTTCACGTTTATATAATTTTCTATTGAAAATGGGGCTAAAAATTGAATAATTTTATTGTTCCATTTATCTGGGTTCGGCAAATAAATTCATCCTGTCCCCTTGCTAAGTTTTTCGATGTTTTTTCTTTTTCCTTGGCCCACTGAACTATTTTTTTTGTGTTTTATTAGATTCTAGGTTAATATTACCTTTTTGAAGAGTTCGATATTGGCAATTTCTAAATTTTTATTCTGGATATTTAAATCAGCTAGGTACCTACTGTTTCTGTCTCGACTTCCAGTTCTTGTCTCAATTCCAATAATAATTAATTCTTTAGTTTCTAAATGGAACCGATATCTGCCTGGTGTCTGTAGCCGACACTTTTCTTGTCAAGCTTTTTTTGATTTTGACCGCATGTATTTTTTGAGGCATTAATTTCGAAGAAGCCTTTCATCATCGCAATTTCACCATTTTATGATACGGTTCTGTCCGTTTTGTAAATTGTTCTAGCTCGCCAGCATTTCAGTAATCTCACGTCGTTCTTTTCAATTCTTCATTGTTCATTTATAGCAAATTTTAGTTACTTTGTCTTTCGGCTTACTCTATCGATGAAGCTGTTGCTAGCTGATGCTGAAATTCTGCAGGCGCATTGGGATAGACTAATTTCATCATCGTATCTGCCATATAGTACTGTAGATTTTTTTCCAATCGTCACGATTTCAGCTTTTGATAATTTTTTGTATATCTTCAGTTACCGTTCTTAAAATCAGTCATATTCATCTCGTAGAATAACGTTGCTTTTACTTATTCTGACCCGTTATTTGCCGTGGAGGTTGCTTCGAATTAGATGGACGAAGATACTTTACCTAGAAATATTAACTTCTTAATTCTCGAGGATACGAAAAGTAGAGAACTACCTCTACCCTTAACATTTTTCTTTCTCCTTTCCAGAGAGTTTTTCCTGAGAAATGAATGACCGGAAGGTCATAAAGTCTGAAACGACGAAGTGGCAATAAACCCGGAAATTAATCATTGACAACAGCTACGTCGACCATGCAACCTCAAAAAGCTGCAACTTTAACTTTTATAGTGTCTATATTAAAAGAACTAGCATAGTTTTTCATAATATGTAGTAAAAAAAAACAGTTTTTGAAAAACGGTCTGAAACTGACGAAATGTAGTTGCAGAAATTATTTTTGAACTTATATTAATCAGAAAAGGTTTTGCCTTTATACCGAATTGCACATTTAAGGCATTTAAAAAAAATGATAATAGCTACATCCACCTTTATAAGGCGCACCAACAATTGGGGGGTTGGGAATAATTTTAGTGAGGTGAAATCTCAGGAAACCAACGAACGCAATTGACCAGATATAAATTTTGTTTCTTTCTCGACAGCAGGATATTTTTCGTGCGAAAGATTAAATATTCCAATTATGAATTTTCCATTTTGTCACCGCTACAGTGAAAGTAACATATTAATAACAATATCTCTGCCACTCATTCTAATCGCAAGGATTAATTAATTAAATTTAAACCAATCTAAATACAAAATATAGTATCTAAATTATAGGTACCTACCATATTTTCTTGTGGGTCCATCGTACAGTTAAAATATCTGTAGTATTTATTTTATTTTAAAACGTAGTAAGCTAATTCAAATAAAGCCTAAAACTTTAGACTTGCTTTGAATTGGCTTAATACTTTTAAAGTAAAATAAGAGTACACAAGATAATATTAAAGATGTACAATAATAAAAAATCTATATTATTTAATACATAATTTTTTTCAGTTCGCGGGACTATTATTGATAATTTTTATAATTGAACTGGCTGTTGGAATAGCAGCTGCAGTTTACAAGGCTGATTTTCATAATGCACTTAATAGTACTTTAAGGAAATCCATGCAAAATTACTCAAGTGACTCTGAAATGATTGCGTGGAATAATCTACAAAAGAAGGTAAAAACATGACTGAATTAAAAATTATTTATTTCAAAATTGCCTTTTCTGTCTATTATTATTATTATGTTTCTCTGTATGCATTACATAAACACACATACCTGTTATTCTCTTCACAACTATCATTTCCGCCAATAAAAAAAACAAAAACTTTTTATTTGTAGGTATTTGTAACAATTAATTGTATAATTATAATGTTTTGATAAATATTTAAATGTATTATTATTGTGGTTAGGTATTATTGTTTTGTACTTACTGACAGAAGGCGTCCCACTAATCTGTAGGTATTATCAAAGCATGGCAAGTGTCATATTAGGCAAAATAAACTCTTTAACTAATGATATTGTGAAAACAACTACTCTTGGTTCTACAGAACCCAGTCACTATTGAATATTTGCTAAACCGTTAAGATCATTCTTCACCAGAATTACTAGACAGAGACTGATGTCGAACTTATTGGTTCTCATCAATTTGTCATAGATTGTGACAACCTACGACTGATTTAATTACACAGCGCCACAAAAAAGTATACGGTCCGAAAGGCCAGACCATGAGGTCTACATGTTTTTGGGGCCGCTGAATCTGAATCTAAGGTCCGTTTAGCCCGAACAGGTAAGGATCAAAGTCAATCCAAGGTCATATCACGAAAACAAGTTCAGTAATGCAAAAAATTTGACCATTCTTTTCAACCATTTTTAAATTTTTACTTGGTCCGCCATATTGGATCCGGTATCTTGTATTTTGAAAATTTAACGCTGGATTCGAAATCAGTGATCCCAAAAACTTATAATAATGCCCTGATTAGGTTAAACGGACCCCAGATTTGGATTCAGCGACCCCAAAAATATGTAGACATCATGGTCTGGTCTTTTGAACCAGGTACTACTTTTTATGTAGCTGTGTTATTGGATGTCTATCTCCAGATGTGTTTTGAGTGTGAGTAGAAGGTAATCTATGAAGTATGGTCGGTCATCTCACTGCATACTGAAAAGACCTATATTTCCTATACTTCGCGGTCGAAATTATAGTGTCTCGGGCATAATATAAAAACGCTATTACCATAAAACGTATAAAATATAAAATGATTTTTATAACGGTTCAATAATATTTGTGTTGTATTAAATGATGTGCCCGCTCTCTATATACTTCGATAAGTTCTATAATCGTCTATAGATTGAATTATACTGAACGTCGATGTATCTTCTAAATCTGTCTGTTAACTTATAGGAGCTAGGGAAATGCTTTTTTAGTATGTGTAAACGGACGTACATAGTACCGGGACGTTTTAAAACGTAGTAATAATTAAAATGGATCAAAGTGCCGGTTGTAACAAAACGTCTAATGCTCATAAAAATAATAGATTTTTCCATATTTTCTGTATCTTATTGCTTTCTAGTCAGATATGCCTATGGATTTTCCCGCACGGTTCATCCTCCTTCGGTTCATCCAAGAGCTATATAATTTCGACCGCGATTTATAATAGGTTCGAAGCGGGTCTATTGGTTCTGCTAGCTAATGTTTACTTGATATTGTCGGTGTAATTCCATACTGAAAAGGTAACCCGCAGAGAGGTTCTTTCTCACAATATCTTAGTTAACAATGATGTTATTTAAGTAATTAAATAAATGCATATATGTTAAATAATTCATATAATAAAGCAAATACATTTTCTATATTTGACGAACTTTAAATTTAAAACTTGGATTCATCAAACTAAAGTACGTAATTAATAAGTGTAATATTTTCAGTTCGAGTGTTGTGGTGTCGACGGACCAAGCGATTGGGAAGCCCATGGACATTCCTTGCCTTTTTCATGTTGTAATGTAATTGAAGGAGGGAATGAAAAAATAGAAATGTACTGTATTAATAATGGCGTTGGGAAATACTTGTTCCAGGACGGTTGCTATCAAAAACTGCAAAATCAGATTAATTCTAATGCTAAAATCCTTATTGGTGTTGGCATCGGCATTGCATTTATTGAGGTATGTTATAAGTATATAAGATATAAATCATATAATCATAGTTTTATTATTAAGAGACATTCTAAACTTCAATTGTTACTAGTAATGGCATTAAGTCAGTGCAATTTACTTATATTCAAACTTTCAAAATGTTTAAATTAGAATATTACTGTAACAACTAGAAATAAATATTGATAAGTAGTGAAATATAACTGTGCTTGGTGATTCATTACTCGTGGCAAAAGATAGACCAGTTTATTAATTATATAATAATCTAAACTGTCATTATTCCTTGTACTGAATACAAACTCAGCCATAAAGCACTCTAACGTTAGGTACACAAATTTGTTAACAATAATGAAAGCGCTTTTAAATTATGTAATTGCATTATTAATGGAAATTATTTGCGCTTGTAACCTAACACATTTACAGCCTCCACCTATTTTTGAAAAAGTTTCTTGTTCTAGATTTCCCATAACACTGCTATTTCCATTTTTTTTTCTATATCTTTGAAAGTTTCAAGAAGCTTTCAGCAATACCTCTTAGAGTTTGTCATGGTGTGTTATGACAAGCTTTGGTTAGAAGTATGTAGGTATATGTTGGTTCTAAAGTCGTTATGGATGGAACGTTCAATAGTGACCTCCATAACTCGTCGCATCCAACGTTGGCGTCTTCAGGGGTTGCTCTGCAAATGCTTTGCCGCGACTGAGGCTATCAATCTCTCTCTCAGTCGCCGCGACTTTTTAATGGGAATCTTAGAAAACATCATTGTCAAAAAATGTTCACTGTCACAAACAACATATTTTCGCCGTCCCTTACATTTCTTCGTGTGGTGACCTACTCTTAATAAAAATGATTTTTTTTTTATATTCATAGATAATAAGCCCTGTTCTGATGCAACGTTGTTATCTTAGTCCAGGCAAGTTAGACCAAAATCACCCAGAATACGGAGATTTTTTTCTGATGAACCGATCGAGTTGCGGTTTTCGGCATTGTCTTCCGAAAAATATCAGGAAAAAAGTTTATCTATTACACTTTGGGGTTGGATCGAAACTGCATTGCGGGTGCATAACTGCATCTTGGAGTGCATTAATTTTTCCGAATTTTTTAAAAATGGTTCAAATTGATTAAAAGTTGTAGAAATTTGTCAGAATCGGAATCCCCCAACCTCGAAAACCCCCGAGTGGAAATTTAGAAAGCAATTACTCAGCTATTCGATGTTTTACAGAGGGCCCCCTTGTCCCTGGGAGGCCCCCGGGCCGTCGAGCATATTTTTCAGTGTCAGAATCGAAATCCCCTACCCCAAAAACCCCCGAGTGGAAATTTAGAAGGTAATTACTCAGCTATTCGATGTTTTACAGAAGGCCCCCCCTTGTCCACTGGGGAGCTCCCGGGCCGTCGGGCATAATTTTCAGGGTCAGATTCGGAATCTCCGACCCCGAAAACCCGTGTCCACAAATTTCTACAACTTTTAGTCAATTTTTACCATTTTTAGAAAATTCGGAAAAATTGATGCACTCCAAGATGCACTTTATGCACCCGTAATGCAGTTTCGATCCAGCCCCAAAGTGTAATAGATAGACTTTTTTTCTAATATTTTCCGAAGACAATGCCGAAAACCGCAACTCGATCGGTTCATCAGAAAGAATTTTTTGATTTATTGTCTAACTTGCCTGGTCTATCTGTCTTAAGACAAATACTGCATTTATGGGAATCATTATAAAATGTAAAATCCGTTGTGTCTTCATTCAAAATTCCAGTAAAGTTGGCCCAGTTTTCTTATAACGTTCTTTTGTCGTATGTTCTGAAAATTCAAAACCTTCTGTGGCAAATATCATTTTTGCTCATTCACTACTTTGGAGGCACAAAGAAATTTAAAAATAATTGGGCTGTTAATTATAGATTGTTAATTAAATATGTAGACAAACATTAAGGGAGTGATTTTAAGCAAACCAAACAGGTTATACGAACATAAGTTCACAAATCAATAGTTTTTAAAAAAGAGGGCGTTGAAATTAAAAAAAAATCTGATATAAATGCGTGTATTAGTAACAGAGATACTTGTTCTCACTGGAAACCTTAATCATTTGATGCAACAGGATATTTTGAAAATTAGGTCACTACCTATACCTTCTTGTACTGTTTCCAATATATCATTTTATTAGTACTTAAATTTTATTAAAAATGTACATACTTATTTTAGGTGGTTGGAATAGTGCTAGCGTGTTGGTTAGCACATACGATAAAAAGAGAAGATACTTCCAAATAAGAAGATGGAGATGTTTTAAGTTATCGAAAATCATCGTCATATGAAGTCTATTAATTTTTAATTAATATAAATATGTGTTTTACAAATATCCTGAAACTGTTTTCATATGTTATTTTTTCACACATCTAAACAGATTATTATCCTTAAGGAATTATACAAGGTGATCCAGAAATAAGTGCCAAAATTTTAACCATCTATTTGTCATCAAAAGCAACAAATTTTGTCTAATAAATTTTTTGGAACACTAATTTTGTTAAGTATTTTATACCCATTAAAATAACACTAACGTATTGTATATGGAAAAAATATCTAAGTAATTAATGCGACTGTTTTGTGAAATAATTTCTTAAAATTTATTGCTTAATAGTCTAAATATTAATACTAGCACTAATTAGTTATTTATTGTGTTTCTTTTTGTTTATTATTTACTCAACTAGGTGTTTAGACTTATAATTCAGTAACGGATAACAGAAGCATAAAAATATTTTAAAAATTATATTATCTTAAATACTAAGAAATTTTCGAAAAAAATTATTATACAAAAGTTATTGTTTTTGGCACTTATTTATGAAACACTAATTTTTTGTTTTTTTTTGTAATTATATCTATTTCGTTCTCATATATTTACAATAACTATAAATACAGATTAACACGAGTTACCTATTATATTTTGTCAAATAAATGTACAAGGTACTTTATTCCATCTGTGTGTAAAACTTGTTAAAAATTAAAGAAACTGTGCTCTGATGAGACTGTTTAAATACCAGTAAATATCTAGGTATAGTTTGTTTTCATAAATGGTCACCTCATAAGAAAATACGAAAATAAGATAAAATTTTATAAGTACCAACACTTTTAATTTTTTACTTAATTTTCACTTGTATAATTTTTTTTGCAAATGTGTTTATTTTAATAAGTTCGTAGTTAAAATCAGTTTGAGATTCACTCTGATCATTAAGAAGTATGTATAACTAGATACATAGATATTTCAATATAAAAGTGATAGAAACAAACGTTATTGAAGAAAACTGTTTTAAGTTTTTTCAATGATTTAAGAAATAAATATTTTAAAATATTTGGGAATTCATAGTTCTATTTACTGGTTCATTTTTAAATTCTGTTGTTCTGTTGCAAACAAAATAAAATCTATCAGTATAATTTAATATTTTATGTGTCACTAATTGCAAATTAAGTCTTTTTATAAAATGCCTAGGCATTGACTGACTAGTCAAATTATAAAATGATGTAGGTATAAATAGATTTTTTACAGTTTGATTAAAAATTCTAGGCGTTTTACAAAATTGCGAATAGTTATGTCTTATTGTAAAATGAACACAAAAACCAATATTTTTACATAGCACCTAGAATAAATAGAACATATTCAGACATATTATAATGAGACTGCTCTGGAGTTAGGCTAATTGGAAGGCAGGCGCGAATTATTAATTTTCTAGTTTCTAGGCTACTTTTCTGCTTCTTGTCATGAGTTTGTACCGTGGTATGATATCATATAAACAAACGCTAAATTAACAGTAGGTAGATATTGTTTTGCTGTTTTCACTTCAAAAATTAGGGTTTCACGATGTTAGAATGCCCAGAACGGAGCTTGTTCAAATAAGTAATATAATTTATAATATAATAATATATATTTTAAACTTTGGGAAGGGCATCGAGCTCTCTAGGGGCTGCCCCTTAACCCCCTTCCCCTCCCCCCGTGTAGAAACTAAACGTACCCTCTTGAGCTCTATCAATTACATTATAAATTTGGCACAGAAGAGTTTCTATGGATGCTGCACATAGTATAACAGTGTATATTAAAATTATATGGGATGTAAATAAAACAAGCACTCAAGCACTTAATCACCGTTTACTTGTTTTTTACCTAATTTGAAATGTCAGTGAAAAAAGAGGTAAATGTTCTTTTTTTAATATTTTGCCATAATAATTTTTATTTCAAATTGTGTTTTTAATTCCATGCAGCAATACAACAGAATCTTGATTTTGAAATATTGTCTTTGATTATAAGTTATAAATTAATAAAAAAATAAGTTTTAAAACCATTGAAAGTGTTAGCAGGAGCAGGGAAAAATGTTAAAACCATTGAAAGTGTTAGCAGGAACAGGGAAAAAATGGGAAATATGTTGATAATACAGAAATAAAATCCTCCATCCTGCTTCAGGGATTAGTTATGAATAGCTACCAAAAATTAAAGTTCGAAACATTTTCGAGAAGATCGACGTTTCGAGCCCACTATTTTATATAAAAATTGTAAATAAAGATGTATTTATTTATTCAAAAGGATCGTATAGGTACGTAAATATGTATATAAAAGTAACGAATTTGTAGAAAGTGCTGAAAGTATATAACTTTTAAAATATCCATTTAATGAGAAATTAAATTGTTTAATATATTTTTCTTTAATGAACATGTATTTTCGTTTTATTGAGACAGACCAATTTAAAAAAAAAAGAAATAGAATCTCACCATGTTATTTTCATGCATGCGAAAGAGCGTCAGCAAGTTTATTCTTCGTTAAATGTTACAATTTTTAGTTAATTTAGTTAATATGTACAGCTACACATATACCTATAATTATTTCTTCATATCCATATTGCTTTTGTTATTAATTTAATAACAACTGAAATAAATTTAGTCGATTATGTCAACTATAAAGTGCACTGAAGCATTGAATAAAATAAAACAAAATGAAACACACATTTTTCATTAAATGAACTATTAGTTTGCATTAAAAATGTGATCATATTAGAGAATAAATAGTATCTACCTATACATAATTTTTTAATGCAACGTAATGTGGACATGTTAAATGTTTAAGACAACTAAATGTTTTCTGCTTTGCAACATTTTGCTAAATCTCTGCGTCACACATGCGCGTACGTATTTATCGAATTTTTACTATTATGCGATCTATTATGCCGAGTTATTCGTCATTTATCAGATACCTTACTCCACACACACGATTTTTCGTTAAGTTCAGTTGAGACCGGAAAATCGGCGAATAGCGACCCAAAATATCATTATATTGACATCATTTATTTTAAAAGTTATTAACTTTTCTGAAGATATATAGTAATGATGTAACAATTGCAGTAATGTTTTTATTGTTGGTATACATGCTTCTAAAAAAATAGAAAAAAAGACAGTCTAAATAACTTGCTCTTTTTCTATAAGTAAATGTAGGAATTCTAAAATTTTTTTTCATTGAGCCATTCTGTATAAAAAAATCTATAGTAATAGTCCAAAAACAAATAATTACTAAATCTACAGGCGTCACTGAGTATACTATAATGGTCACATTAGTACCTATAGTCTGTACGATATTTGTTGAGATAGAATTCCAAGAAAAAGCATAAGCCAATAAAGTTCTGTTATCGGAACTACTGTAATAGTTTACCGCAGAAGGGTCGTACCTTGAAATTTTCTGCCAATGGCATTCTACCGTGGGTGTCGAATGCGGATAATTCCAAGAAAGTGACGCAGGGGTCTTCTTGGAATTCTATCTCACAAATATTACGGACTGTAGACGCCTGCTGATTAATTAACATTCGCTGTTCGCTATTTACCGAATATCTCATGTATGGCACCGCATTTATATTAATTAACATTCGTTGTTCGCTATTTACCTACTACCTCATGTGTGGCACCGGATTTATATAAGAAATTATATTAAATAAAATAGAGAGTTAATAATTTTGTATAGTTTGTTTATACTCAAATATTTATGTAATGTTATACAACTAAATGTTTCACATAAGTGTATGTATTTTGTATCTATTATATTTAATAGGTAATAAAATTTGAAAAATTAAAATATGGTTTGAGTAGATTTCAGGCATAAGTTGCGAATTTTTACATTATAGGTGCACGCAAAATTGAGGTGTAATTAAAATGCTTGACCAAACTTTAATGGCGTCACAAGTTAATGAAAAACTTCATAAACATGTGTTCGGAAAGACTTCATTGTAGAGACGTAGTGTATTCAAAATTAATGAAAAAATATAGTTTATTTCAAGACAAACTGCAAAGAACAGTTGAAGACTGCCATATAAATAATATTTTAATTTATTTATCGATAACATGATTACGATATTTGTGTGATAGAATTCCAAGAAGACCCTGCGTCATTTTCTTGGAATTAACCGCATTCGACACTCGAGGTAGAGAGACATTGGCGGAATATTTCAAGGCACGCCTCTGTCGCAGTAATCGACACCCAAGGTAAATTGTTGCAGTAGTTCCGATAACGGAACTTTATTGGCTTATTCTCTTTTTGGAATTATATCTCTTAAAATATCGTACACATTTTACTATACTCTTGGTTCACAGTCAAAGCAACTTTTTTCGAACCACGGACTAAGAATCACGAGCCATAATGATGCAAAACTCTCCAGAATTTATTTTTGGAGAATATTCCTATCCATTGACAATATTCCTGTTTTTTGCTTTGTCCTACTTGTTCTCAAAGATTTTATTATTCTAAGAAGTGTTCAAAAAAAATTACTACCATGATATTTCTCACTTCTTTATTAAGTTATAATTTTCAGTTACCTATTTTATAACCACTTATTATTTAAAACAGATATTATACTGTGTTGTTTTAGTCAGGCGAGATTGTTTTAATTACACGCATCAGCATTTTGTGCGATGTACATGGGCGTAGCTAGGGGGAGCAGGGGTGTGCACGGCCCACTCCAGAAAGAATTTAATATTATCATCTTATCTTTGTCATAAAGGTAAGTCGCTGACTGCGCGGGCTTTTTTATTGCGAGCGGTGACCTTTTTTTTTGAGGCCTCCGTACCAATTATATTAATTATAATTGCAAGAATGAAAAATGAAATTGAGAATACGTGAAGGATACAACTATATAAAAAAATAGAAGCTTCAAGTTTCTAGTTTTCCGATGTAGAGCTTAAAATTCTTTAGCTTCGGCGATTTTTGAGTACCTAATCAAAAGAAAATCAACAAAAAATTCCAAATTTTTGCTTGTCTTTAGGATCTAGGAAGTCTATGGACTTCAATAAACTACTATTTTTGGTAATTTCACCATAAAGTTCTTTTAGATAATTTAATTCCCTTCAATTTGAGTGGTTCCGGAGCTCTGTAGATAGGATAATTTGTCGCCGAGTTATCGTCGATCAAAGCAAAAAAGTTATTTTTGACTTTTGGCAGTCAATTACTCGGGAACTAATGATCCAACAATGGTTTTGAAAACTGCGAAGCATTCTCTATAAGTCGCAATTATTGGTTTTTGATAAAAAAAATTGAAAATTAAATGTTGGTTGGAGAAAAGGTAAAAAATTACATAATTAGGGATATTTGAAAGACTTGGCATAACTTTGCAATAATGGACAAACTAAGGATATTAACTGTAACTTTTCAACCTCGAAGTGTTCTGACCAATATTTGATATGTAGTTTCAAAGCGCTGCTATTTTTTTCCTAGTGCCCGGTATATTTAAATTACTCGTTTTTGCTGAGTAATTTTTCAACTTCTATGCATTTTTTAAGTTAAAAATTGATATTTTAGCAATAATCCATATTTTTCTCATCAAAAAACGTTAATTATTGTTAAAAAAATGGTAAAAGGGTTTTCAAAAGATTCTCATTTAAAAAAGAGAGGATTCGATGGTGCTTCAGTAAGAATTTATATAAAAATATTTTGAAGGTATATCGTACCAGGATAAAGATCTAGCTGTAAGGGAATTAAAATCAACAGGAACAAGTTTTTGTTATATTCTATATCTACTTATTAAACCAGATAAATAATTTTCATCTTATTCTGAAATCGAGGAACGAGCCATACGAAAAGAATAAATGCTGATTATAAGTGAAGTGTTCGAGTCGAACGTCTCAATGAGTCTGATACTTATATTAAAGAGTAGGTACTATTAAGAGTTGGAGAGATTGAAAATGAAAAATAAAATGTTAATTGTGTCACAATGAAAAACAGTAACTGTCGTACTAATTATTATTCATGAGTCGTGATAATTAGTGTATTTACGTATTGTGTAATATTGCTAAAGTAGAGATAAATAATATTTACAGGAAAAGTACTGATTTTTGGTTTTAATGTGTATAGATGTGGTGCATGAGAGCTGGAATAAGATATACTTTGTTTCAAAATCAAACATGATGTCATCGAGTAGGTATACTTAGTTTATACCGGGTCGGAAAATCCCCATGGTTCATCGGCCGTTACGTGAGAGCGATAAAGTAAGTCGTAGAAATTCGTGCGATAGAGAAAGATGGCTATAATGAAGGCGTCTAAAAGTCACAGCCCATTTCGCTCTTCCACAAATAAGAAGTGGATCTTATTTGTGGAAGGGCGAAATGGGCGGTGACTATTAGACGCCTTCATTATAGCCATCTTTCTCTATCGCACGGATTTCTATGACATTCTTTATCGCTCTCACGTAACGGCCGATGAACCATAGGGACTTTCCGACCCTGTATAACCAATGATATCTACTAACCAAATTTTTTATACATTTTTTTATGGGAAGATTCCGTTGTCTCTGGTTAAAATATGCTGAAATATCAAAGTTTTAACCAATCGAGATAGTCTCCATAGTTTCTATGAAGATAAAAACAAAATTGAACACGTTATAAAAATTTGTAAAAGGTGTTCCAGATTGTTAACGATAGTTTTCTAGATAGCGTAAATATATATGGGTATTTTATTATATCTGCTAAGTTATATACCATTACCTTTAAAAAAGGAGACTTAAAATTGGATTAGATTATTATTACACTCCTAATTGTGCTTCTCTACTTCTTTCTTGAACTGGGTTTGGTGTTTTTTTGTAGAGAAATATAACTCGAGGAATTATATATTTTGTAAATATTGATTATTTTGGATATAAATGACAATAAACATGAAACATACAATATGTATGTAATTTGGATAATACACTAACACAGGCCAGGTTCGGAATGCTGGTTACTGAACAGGCTGATCAAGTTGACGTTCAGTCACGGCATATGGCATTTCCGCAGGTGGTTCTGGCGAGAAGTCTGCCGTAGATCGGCACCGCCGCCATTATTCCATGGCTAGAAATTGGCCTCAATGATTTGGGATCGAGGGGGATTATCCCTCTTTATCCTGCCTCATCTCGTGTAGGCCTGGACAGCCTTCGTAGGTGGGCCCCATCCGTCGTCTACCCCGACCGCAAATGCGGCCGGTGTAGGCGCTTTGTGGGACCTCCTTTTGTCCTGGCTGGGCCCCGCCGGCTAGGGCCCTTTCTTCTGGCGCTCTTCTTGCTTCGCCGGCTCGTCTGTGTAAACCCCGGGGGTAGTGTCATGTTTATG